GAAATAATTCATTTAGCTTTGTTGATTATTTTGAGAGAAAATAATAGCCAATACATTGTAAAGACTCCTAGAACAGACTCTTGCATTTATATTCTTTGTGACAAAAAACTAAATCCATAATCCCAAAGTCTAAGGCCAAAGAGACATTTCAATCCCTTATGTTTATCAGATCTTCAACCTTTAATTTTGTTTCTTACTATATGCTGAGCTCTGGTAGCACGTGGTTTAGGTGCTCAGCTGCTAAACAAAAGGTTGGCGGTTTGAGCCCACCAGCTGGTGTGCTTCCATAAAGATTTACAGTTTTGAAAACCCAATGGGGAGTTCTACTTATAATAGAGGGTTGCTATGAGTTGGAACCGACTCATCAGCAGTGGAACTATATGCTATAATATAGAATTGTTGATATAATGAATTTTTCAGCAGGAAAGGCCCACATGAAATAATCATTATTTTCACACTTCTGTGAAAGGACAGCACCGTGACCTTTTCCTGAGTTTATAATTAATGGGAGATATGTATTGAACTGAACATACTTATTGACTAAATTGCAGGATAAAAAGCTCAAGAAGCTTTCCAATTTGTTTGGGTTTACTTTCTCCCTTTCTTTTGCATTTCACGGTAAAGGTCACACTTAACAAAGCTCCATTTTTTATATCGTTCTCTCTTCCCATAACTCATTGGAACCAACATTCTAAGAGGAGTGCTGTGTTGGACAGACTGCACTTGAAGAGAAAGCAGAAAGAAATGTAGATTCTGTGTTGAAATAATCACCTTGGAACTGGCAGAGGAAGGAATGGAAATAAAATTGGGTCTCTATAAAGTATTGTTGTGGTGGTTCAGTATTGTCAAGTTGGAGCCGATCCTTAGCCATTCTGTATAGGGTTTCCAAGGAGCTGCTTGTGAATTTGAACCGCTGACCTTGAGGTTAGCAGTCCAGTGCTGATCCTACAGTACCATACCAGGACACTTTATAAAGTGTAGATGTGTATATTTATACTGTATCCCATCTGGTATTGAAGTCTGCTGTGCCCTAAAGCAGCCAGGCCAATCACTTATATGGAGGTATTAATTCCATTAAGACCAAGATAGACTTAATTGTTCATTTGTATCTGTGAACTCTGCCAACAGAAATGCTATTGAATGTGTTCCTGTTGTTGTGTACTGTGCTGTAGGGTTATTTTAAATTCATAGTGACCTTATATAACAGAGTAGAACTGCCCCATAGCGTTTTCTAGGTGGGGCGCTGTGGGCTAATGAGCCAGACTGCAAAGCTGTTTGAATTGCAAGGTTGGTGGTTCAAGCTCACCAGCTGCTCCTTGGAAATTCTATACAGGGTCGCTGTGGGTCTGAACCAACTAGACAGTACTTAACAACAACCTTCATGGGAGCAGATCACCAGGTCTTTCCATCTTCAGGGTGGTTGGTGGGTTCCAACTGCTGACCTTTTCAGCCAGCAGCTGAGTGCTTATACCCCCAGGACTCCTTATATAACTGCTACGACTCCAAGATGGACTACTAATCAGATGAACCCTGTCTGAGACTAAAGAAACATGCAGGCCCTTTAAGACTTTCAGATACTGTGTACTAGAGCTGAACAAAATAATATAATGAACTAATTTGAAGGCATCTGTGAGAAATCTCTTGAGATGAGTGAGAATGGCAGCTTCCCATACAGCCGAGGTTTGTTCATTTGGGTTGAATCAAGTTCAGGGCAACTTGACACTTTGTATTACTCCTCACGCCATCCCACTTTAAAAAACAAAAAAACAAAAAATTGTGTGGACCTTAAGAAATCATTTTGTGGATGAATTTAAGACCCAGAGAGGGTCTAGTTTTATAATACTCAGGAGGCAGACTTACGTGGGCTCAAACTCAACTCTGTCCCTTGCTAATTATTCAATGCTAGGTAAACTACTTAATCTTCATATTGCATTGGGTGAATCTGCTGCAAAAGACCTCTTTTAAGTATTCAAAAGCAAAGATCTCACTTGGAGGTTTAATATGTGCCTGACCCAGGCCACGTTATTTTCATTTGCTTCATGTGCGTGCAGAAGTTTGGCAATGAATACAGACGACTGAAGAATAATCATTGCATTTGAATTATGGCATTGGTAAAGAATATTGAATATACCATTGCAGTGCAGAGAAATACTTCATATGTGTCTTCTACCCATACCCTCAAAGAAACACTTGTAGAATAGTGGTTACGAGTCGAGCTGCTAACAAAGAAGCTCTGGTAGCGTGCGTAGTGGTTACGAATCAGACTGTGAACCTCAAGATTAGCAGTTCGAAACTACCAGCTGTTCTGCGGGAGAAAGATGAGGCTTTCTGCTCCCATAAAGATTTATAGCCTTGGAAACTCTGTATAGGGTCACTGTGAGTTGGACCCACTCCACAGCACAGAACCACCAAAGATTTACAGCCTTAGAAACCATGTACAGTGTCGCTATGAGCTAGAACCCACTCCACGGCACATCACCACCACAGCCACCCGTACTCTAACTTTCACCAAACAATTTTTTTTTCTCTATGGGTCTGGATAAGAGAAGGTGGGAGAAGATCCTGACAGCGTTATATGATTCTTTTTATTGTTAGCAGGGTTAATTGTAACCATGAAAAACTTGGAACTCTAATGTGGGTATAAAATGAGCCGTCTCAAGCACTCCACTAGCATACATTGAACCTCCTTGATCCAGGGTCAGAAAGCTATGCCAACAGAGAAACGTCAGAGGAGGGGCAGAGGAACCATAGCAGTAGAACCAAGAAGCAGAGCACAAAACTGAGCCATGGGCTTCCAGGCTGGTGGAATGGGAAAAGCTGTGTGCTTTGGAGCATAGTAGGGTACCTCCAGATATTTAATTGGGGAGTTAAGTTTTCTGACCCACACATCTAAAACTGAGTCACTTCAAGATGAGGCTTATAGCAGAATGGAGTGCGCTTTGGTCAGCTATTTATCAGCAGTGTTAAGCTTTGTAACAATGCTGGAGCAGATCCGAGGCTGAGGACCCAAGAGAGGTGTGTGCCTGCAGGCTTTGTTGAGAACAGGGTGTCCTGACCAAAGAACTGCGTTTTGAACATTTTTGATCCTGAATTATAACTTAAGTGGAGTCCTGGTGTGGCGCTGTGGGTTAATGTGCCAGACAGCAAAGCCGTTTGAACTGCAAGGTCGGCGTACAGGGTCGCTATGGGTCGGGATCAACTCGACGGCACTTAACAACAACAACTTCCCCTAGTAAGCCCCGTAATGATAAGTATTGTCTCTGAGTTCTGTGTGGCCATTGCAAAGACTTATTGAACCCAGCTGAGAAGTACCTCGTGCTGTGGGAGGGAATTAGTAAGGAAGGTTGGAGGGTGAAGGCATGTCTGATCACAACCTTGTTAGAATTGGCCTGGGACTGATGCTGATTTTGAGTGTGATTCTTGTTCCCTCAATGAAGAGGAGATCAGATGCCAACTTGATGCCCCTTTTACCGAAAGAATGGACAAATCTATCTTGGGAGAAGTACAGTTAGAATACTCCTGAGAAATGAAGATGGTGATCCTTCATCTTAAGTACTTTTGACGTGTATTAGGAGGTCATCCAGTCCCTAGAGGATATTATGTTTAGTAAAGTAGAAGGTCAGTGAAAAAAGAAGACCCTCAACAAGATGGATTGACAATGGGGTCAAACAGAGCAACCACTGCTCAAGACAGAGCAGTGTTTTGTTCAATTATATATTATGTTTAATGGAAATGCAGTGTACATAATATATGTGTGTGTGTGTGTTTGTGTATAATTGCTGCTGTAACAAATTATCAAAATCCTTAACAGGTTAAAACAAAACAAAAAAATGTAATATAAACTATTATCTACCAGTTCTAAACCTGCCACAAGCTTTAACAAGTAGCTCAAATGCACATACTGATACTTGTGTGGTGACAGTAATGTCCTCCTACCCACAAGGGAGTGAACTCAGCAGACTGTACTGGAAAACAGTGATGCTACATCACCATGTGCTTCTTCAAGGAAAGCAATTACTGTAGGCCCAGGTTTTCTGAATAATAAGGATAATGAATTGTTTTACATACTATTAACTTGTGAGTGACAGTGAAGAACAACTTTGAATAAATACGATGCTTCTTAACAGGATTATACCTCAGACACTGAAACTTGAGGTAGAGTTGGCTTTAGTTGAGAATCTACAGAATAATTTCTTCTACTTAGCATTTGTTGTAAATCCTGAAAAAGACGTAGGAAGTTCTGAGTAATAATAAAAATGGAGGCTCATTTTTCATTTCACAAATTATTCACTCACTAGTAACTTGCATTCATGCTTTTCTGTAAAACAAGTGCCTCAACTTATTTGTATATATCGAACACCCATTGTTTGATAAGCAATGTACTCTCACCTCTGTGCTTACACAGATATTTAAGTTTTATGTTCTGTTTTCAGGAACTCACATTCTTGAAGGTTAAGACTAGCAATCTGACCCAATTGCTAGTAATGTAACTAAGTATGAAATTGGGTGGCATTGACCACAACAGTAGTTTCTGTAATAGTTCATACCAGTGAGGGGAAAATAGCTAGAGTAGCATGGGGAAAGCTTCACAGAAAGGATGGGATTTGAGCTGGAAACACAAGGATACTGAAGAATTTGATTAGGTAGAGGGAGAGAGAGGAGTTCAATTCAGATGCTACCATGGAGATAGCAATGACAATAATAGCAAAGAGCTGGGGAAGTCCATTTGACAATTTGTAGAAAAGCTTGGAGTTTCCATCCTGGGTACTAAAATGTAGCTCTAGGATACCTCAACCTCCCGAGACATCACCACTGTCTTACATACTACTGCCTTGGGAATAAAGAGCTCTGGTAGCATAGTAGTTACAAGTCAGGCTGCTAACCTCAAGGTCATCAGTTCAAAACTACGGATGTTCCACAGGAGAAAGATGAGGCTTTCTGCTCCCATAAGGATTTACAGCCATGGAAATCGCTCTGAGTTGGAACCGACTCCATGGCACATAACCACCACCACTCTGGGACTGTTTCCACGATGGGAGATTTAGTTCTCTCTTTCCAGTTAAAACAAAGATCTATTTTACTGCCTGTAAAAATTTCACTAGAATGTGTCTTTTTTATAAATATGAAGCCAACTTTTAGAATTAGATAAGTCTTGCTATAGAAAAAAACAACTGTTTACCAATGATGTGAAGATGTCACTCTATACAAAATTTCATTACCCTCGTGTACCTGTTATGCTACCTTCCATGAAGTGCTAAAATGGCCTTGTGATTTTTATCTTTTTCCAGTTCTTCTCGTCTTCCAATAGAAATATTAATGGGCAGTAATATGTTCCAAAAGGAACTCTGGTAGCGTAGTGGTTATGAATTGGGCTGCGAACCGCAAGGTCAGAGTTAGAAACTACCAGCTTCTCCGCGGGAGAAAGATAAGGCTTTCTGCTCCCATAAAGATTTACAACCTCGAAAACCCTGTTCAGGGTTGCTATGGGTCGGAACTGACTCGATGGCACTTAACAACAACAACGTGTTCCAAAGTAGGCAGCTGAAAGATGAAAGAGGAGTTATCTAACTGATTCAAGAATTAATAGTACTGTATGAATCCACAGACCATTGCTTTTAGTTTCGATTTTTTTTTAAGTACATGTCAATGATAGATGGAAGACATAAATGTAGATTTCAAATTGACTACCAGTATTATCTTGGCGTGGATAACACTGGACTGCTAACCTTAAGGTTGGTACTTCAAACCCATATACTGCTCCTTGGAAACCCTACACAGGGTCACTATAAGTCAGAATTGGCTCAATGGCACTTAAACATCACCACCACCAGTATTAATAGTTGAAAAAAAAATAAAATGTCTTGAATCGTTTACGTTCATATCTTCTAGAATGTATGCTTAGGCATTTGTTCTGTATTAGGTTTTCAGTTTTTTTAAGGAAAATAAAAATTTAGATGGGCTAAATTTTAGCTACGACAGAAACAGAATAGTCTAAATCTTGCCCATTTTATTCTCTATGTGTGTTGTTCTCCCTGAGGGTAGTGGTAACTGCTGTGCATATGTGTGGAATATATTTGTTACAGGGGATTTGCTCCCAAAAGTAAGAGAATTCCAGGGCTAGTTTTTGCCAGTATCTGTCCCAGATTCCTCTCCAGTTTAGGTTTTATGCAGCGATACTGCGGTTTTCTAACCTGATTTAAGCCCTGGTTTTGTCAGCAGCAGAGAGATTGCAGTACCCTTCCTTGCGGGGATTGTTTAGAGACTTGATCTTCTGCAGAGGGCCTGGGAACCGAGGGTTTACGCTCTTTGCGGGAGATGGTCCTGCTGTGCTTGGCTTCAAACAGGCTGCTCCTGCTTTGCTTTCAGAAGCATGAGATTCCCCCCACCAGGCTTAAAAACAATAATAGAAATATATTTGAAAAATTCTCCAGTTGCTTCTCTTGCTGACTTTGGCAGTTAGATACAAAGCATCAACAAAGCTCTGTATACAGAAATTCTGCCTTCCAGGCTTGTTCCTCTCTAACAGAACAATCCTTAACCTTGTGGGGCCCTTCATGTTTTTTTAATAAGAACAGGGTCCAGAGATTATTGGCACTGCAGGTTTATTCCTTTCTGGTGGTTTTTACTCCTACCCACTGTAATCTCAAGCATGGTAACAGCAGTGAGGTTGGCCCAGGATTGGGCAGTGTTTCATTCTGCTGTGCATAAGGTTGCTATGAGTCGGTACCGACTCGATGGCACCTAACAATACAACAACTGTAATCTCTAGGTTCTCTCTTTTGTATTTTTCTTTCACAGTATGGGCCACATCTAATGAACCTCTCTCAGGATAACTGCTCACAGTATAGTATCTTTTGTTTTTGTTTTTTTATCATTTCCATCCCAGAGCACTTTCTTATTTGTGTGAAGTTTTAGAAATAAAGTTTTAAAAAACTTAACAAACATGACAAATAACATTCACTGCTGTGAAGGCTACCAACAAAATAAAACAAAAACTATATCTCTGTCCTTGAACTAGCCCGTGATATAGGACATAGTCAGACATACACAAATTAATCAAAAAGTATAAAACAAGTGGAAGGAAGGGAATGATGTGTTTGGACTTTATGGTGCTAATTCCAAATCCTATACCCTGGTATCACATTTGATGTTAGAAAATCCTTCTGATGTGCAGAGGTAACAGAGTAGGTAACAGAATGATGGGGGCCATTGAAATGCCAGGCTCCCAAAGAACTCCTGGTGTGGTGCTGTAGGATCAGCACTGGATTGAGAACCACAAGGTCAGCAGTTCAAACCCACCAGCTGCTCCTTGGAAACTCTATACAGGACCACTATGAGTCAGAACTGACTCAACAGCACTTAACAATGACAACAATGGTGGTTCTTTCCCTTTTGGTTTTCTAACTCCAGGTCTTTGCATATTTCATTAAAATATTTGACTTTGTCTTTTCAAGCTGCCCTTGGAAATTTTTTGTTCAGCTCTTTTATCTCCTTATTTCTTCCATTTGCTTTAGCATTTCTGCGCTGGAGCACAAGTGGCATCCATTTTGATCTCTTCCATCTTTCTTATCTTCTTAACAGCCTTTTGCTTTCTTCCTGTATTTGCTTTCTTCCTGTTCTTGCTATCGTCCTGCAACTCTTCGGGTCTTCATTCTTTAGTGACTAATCAAATCAGATGCATTAGTCACTTCAGATGATCTCTAAATTCAGGTAGGATAAGTTCAAGGTCATATTTTGGCTTTTGTGGACTTGTTTTAATTTTCTCTTCTTCAGCTTCATCCTGAAATTGCATATGAGCAGTTGATGGTCTGTACCACAATCTGCCTCTGACCTTGTTTTGGCTAATGAGCTGGCGCTTTTTCACCATCTCTTCCCACAGATGTAGTCAGTTTGATTTCTGTGTATTCCATCTGGTGAGGTCCATGTGTATAGTTGTCTTTTATGTTATTTAAGAAATGTATTTTCAGTGAAGAAGTCATTGGTCCTTCAAAATTTTATCATGCGATCTCCAGCATCATTTCTATCACCAAGGCCATATTTTACAACCACTGATCCTTCCTCTTCTTTTGATCTTTTCATCCCAATCACAGTAATTATCAATACATCTTGATTGCATGTGTGATCAATTTCAGACTGAAGAAGTTAGTTTTGTTGTTGTTGTTAGTTGCCATTGAGTCAGTACTGACTCATAGCAACCCTATGCACAGCAGAACGAAACACTGCCCAATCCTGGGCCAACCTCACTACTGTTGCCATGCTTGAGTCCATCAATGCTGCCACTTGGCCAATCCGTCTTGTTGGGGGTCTTCCTCTTTTTCTCTGACCCTCCACCTTACCAAACATGATGATATCCTCCAGTGACTGGTCCCTCCTGACAATATGTCTGACGTACGATAGATGAAGTTTGGCCACCTTGGCCTCCAAGGAGCACTCTGGCTGCACTTCTTACAACACAGATCTGTTGGTTCTATGGGCAGCCCATGGCACTTTCAGTATTCTCCTCCAACACCATAACTCAAAAGCATCAATTCTTCTACTGTCTTCCTTATTCACTGTCCAGCTTTCACATGCATATGAGGTTATCGAAAATATCGTGGCTTGGGTCAGGCGCACCTTAGTCCTCAAGCTGACACCTTTGCTCTTCAATGCTTTAGAAAGGTCTTGTGCAGCAGATTTGCAGAATTCTTCAATTTCATCATCACTGGCTTTAGTGGTTGGTACATAAATTTGAAAAAGTTATTATAACTGGTCTTCATTGTAGACAAATGGATATTATCCTATTACAGTGTTGTATTTCAAGAAAGACCTTGAAATGTTCTTTTTGATGATAAATGTGATACCATTCCTCTTCAGTTTTTCATTCCTGGCATAGTAAACCATGTGATTGTCAGAATCAAAATGGCCAGTATCAGTCCATTTCAACTCACTAATGCCTAGGATATTGATGTTTATGGGTTCCATTTCATTTTTGACATTTCCCAGTTTTCCCAGATTTGTAGTTTGTACCATGTTCCTATTATTAAGGAATGTTTACAACTGTTTCTTTTAAATTTTCAATTGTGCCTCATCATTAAATGAAGGTCCTGAATGCTTTACTTTATTCTTGTCATCACTGTCAACTCTTTGAGGAGGCAGCTCTTCCCCAGGCATATTCTGAGTGCCTTCCAATCTGAGGGGCTCATTTCCCATCACTGTATGTGACAATATTCTGGTGCTATTTATCATGTATCAATATTCTGTATTCTGGTAATGATAGTGTTACACTGCTGTTCGTAAGATTTTTCAGTGACTAAATATTTGAAGTAGTCCGTCTCTCCTTCCTGGAAACTCAGCTGAAACCTGTCCCCCATGGGTAACCTTTCTGGTATTTAAAATGCCACTGGCAAAGCTTCCAGAATCACAACACCACACAAGCCACCATAGTACGACAAACTGACAGATGATTGGTAGATATGGCCACTAGAAAATTTAAAGTAATATCTGTGGCTTATATTATATTTCTCTTAGTGGTGCTCTAGATTGTACTTGGGTAATTGCAATCATTCATATACCACTTGGAGTTCCCTTGGGATTGTTTTCTGAAGATTCTCTCTCTTAACTACTGGTTAAGTTGGGAATAACACATAGTAGCTGTAACATTTTATACGGCAAGAGCTGTGACCTGTGACTGCTTGGTGTACTTCTTTGGAGGGATGTGTGGTGAGATTGCATTTCTTATGAGGCTCATAAACTGACTTTGAAGGCTGCTCCAAAAACAGTTATGAGCTTTGAAATAAAGATATTGCCTCTTAGTGACTCTATTAAAAGACCTGGTTCATTTGGTTTCATAAATCTGGGATTATAATGTTTTGGGAAAAAAACAAAGGCTGTCTCATTACTTGAAGTACATCTGTCCAGTGCTGCTTAGCATGTAGAACAGCCTTTGGGTAAAAGAAAATGATCATGCTGATTGTTACCCTACCCATGCTGGGTGTAGTATGATGGAGACAGAGGAGGAAGAGGAAACCTTTTTCAACTACTCCAGAGAAAGCCCCACATGTGATATAGCTTCTTCCTTGGTATATGAAGGAAAGGTGCTACAACATATAGCAATAGGGTTATGGGATTCTGGACCAACTGTTCAAGTTGTACAACTTTTTTTCTTTGAAATTTTAATCCTTTGTTCTTCTATAGGTCAAAGATACTCCCAAGTGTCTTTGATCTTTGACCTAATGCATAAATTTTCAGAAGTCCCTTTTTTTTTTTTTTTTAATGCTTTATTGTGAATTATGTGATAGTTTACATGGGAAGACATTAGCTTCACATTGATTCATTGTATATTGTTTCCTTGCCATGGTTATAATCCCCTCCATGCATCATCCACCAACCAAAGGGTATACCCTGCAAGCCTGCCCCCTGGTCGTCTGCACACAGCCCCTCTTCCTCCTCCAGGTCCAAAGTCCCCAGCCACTCCATCTCCCCATGTCATCGTCTCTGCCTCCATCCCTGGCATCACTGCTTCTCTGAGTAGGGTTCCAGAAGTCCTTTTTAAGATTAAGAAATCTTTGACAGATTCATGATTAGTGGATAATGCCTTCAAAAGTAGAAATTATCTGTTCCAAAAAAAGAAGACCACTGCTCTTTACGGTATTCTGAAAGCACTCTTTGTTGTAGCACACACTTTTTCTTCTGATTCTGTACCATAGGCAGATTAGAAATAACGTCCACCACTTTATAAATGGTGGTGGTGGTGTGCTTTCAGGTTGATTGTGACGACTCGTGACCCTGTGTAGGATTTTCAAGGCTATTCATCTTTATGGGAGCAGAAAGCCTCATCTTACTCCTGAGAAGCAGCTGGTAGATTCGAACTGGTGACCTGTGGCTAGCAGCCCAACACTTAATCACTATGCTACCTTACTTTATAAATAGATAAATTAAAAAAATTTGAAAGTTCAGGGGATCAGTGATAGAAGATATGGTTTGGAAACATCTTTAGTTTTACATTCTTACCACTACCTGGGGTGGCGCTGTGTGTTAATGCGCCAGACTGCAAAGTCTTTTTGAACTGCAAAGTCAGCAGTTCAAGATCACTAGCTGCTACTTGGAAACCCTATATGGAGACACTATGAGTTGGAACCGACTGGACAGCACTTAACAACAACAACAACTTTCATAGTATCACATGGGTATGTGGCTACTGAATTATCTGTTGTTCATCAAAGAAAGTGCTATTCTGAAAAGTGAGGGGGTATGTCTCATTTTGGGGTATACTTTTGTTGAACTATTCACTATACTCTGTTTAATAATGTAGATATTTATAAAATGGTTGGAAAGTTAAGCAAGGTCAAGAAGAACTGATTTATTGATCTTTGTACTTCTCCTTTCCTCTCAAGAATTTAGGCATACTTGCTAGTTTCTGGGAGGTAAAGTCAGTGTGAAACTATGAAACCTTCATCATCACATTCCCACTGCTTTGTCAGCTCATATTCTTGAGGAATTTAATCAATTTTATTGCTGTGTATGTCTGAAAACCAATGGTATTTATTTTCTCTGCAGGAACTTACTTTCCTTTTTTTTCCCCCTTAGCTGGCTGTCTCTTTGTTAATATTTTCCCAAGTGGAGGCACTAATTGATTTTAGAGCTTAAGCAATATCACTTGTTATTCTGAATGCAGAAACTGTGTTCCTGTGGATTAGTGTATAGTCTGTATAACCACCAACTGGGGATCCTGCTGGGAATTATAAATTAGAGAGAAATTATGGGCCATGATAACAAGGTGCTCCAACACGGAGAATTCAGAAAGCAGCAGACATAAACAACCTCTTTTTTGCAGACTAGGTTCCTTGCAGTCAGCCAAGGTTTGTTTCCTTAAGCATTCAAGATCTGAAATATGATAACTGTCTTAGTTATCTAATGCTGCTATAATAGAAATATTACAGCAATGACTTTAACTAATTTATTCTTTCATAGTTTAGGAGGTTAGAAGTGTGAATTCAGGTTACCAACTCTAAGGAAAGGCTTTGTCTTGACTGTGGGAAAGTTCTTGTCTCCTTTCAACATCCATGGACCCTGTATTACTTGAAATTAGATCTCCATGTGTCTTGGAACCAATCTTCCCTTGGGTTTAGAAGATTCTCAACACAGAGACCCTGGAACCAAAGGATGCACTCGGCTCCTCTCTTTCTCATCTTTCTTGAATCCCTCCTTCTCTCTTCTTTGATCTCTTGTAAGATAAAAGGTGATGAAGGCCACACCCCACAGTTACTTACCATACATTGGATGAGAGCTGTGATCTGAGTAAGGGTGTTATATCCACTCTAATTCCCTAACAGCTGACTGGCTGATAATATCAGATCACATCATGGGGCATGATCATGTTATAGAACTGCCAAATTACATCATTACATAACTGTCAAATCACTGAGAATCATGGCCCATCCAGTTGTCATATATATGTATCTCTGTAGTATGTTTCTATCTGTCTGGAGTCCTGGTGTTAAAGTACTCAAACTCAAGATTGGTTTGAACTGCAAGGTTGGCAGTTCAAACTCATCAGCCGCTCCTCAGAAACCCTATACAGGGTCGCTATGAATCAGAAACAACTCAACATCACTTAACAACAACAACATCATCTATCTGGAATCCTGGTGTGGTGCTGTAGGATAATCACTCGACCACAGGATTGGTTTGAACCACAAAGTCAGCAGTTCAGGCTTACCAGCTACTCCTCAGAAACCCTATACAAGGTTGCTATGAGTTAGGACAGATTCAATGGCAATTAACAACAACAATTATCTATCATTAACAGTATATATATCAGACTCACTGGTCTGATAAGAAACACATTTTAGAAATTAAGACTTGTTCTAGATGTGGGTACTGTAAAAAGGGCACAGGACAGGCTTCTCTGACCTCCTCTTACTTTCCGAGGGGGAAGACAGAAGACTCACTATCAGCATCTGTCACGGCTGGTTTCCTATGAGGCTGACATCAGACAGGCCTCCACTTTCCACCCTTCCTTACCAATTCTGATACCAACCAGCCGTCCCACAGCACTCTACTTGTCAACTTGGTTTGATAATTCATTGCAATGGCCACACAGAACTCAAACCATACTCACAAGGGTAGGTTTAATCAGGGAAGTTAACAGACTACATTTCAGGATTAGAAATATTCAGGACACAGTTCTTTGGTCAGGACAGCCTCTTCTCTGCTTTGTCTCTGTGGCTTTTGGGCTGGTCTCTGCTCTGCTAGGGTAATGTTACAAAGCTCTTTCACACTGCTGAGAAGTGTCCAAAGTGTTCTCCACTTCATTATAAAACTCAGCCTGAATATTTTATTCAGGATATTATACTGAGGCTGAGTTTTATGTTCAGCTAGCTCAGCTCTAGCTCTGTGGATCAGCAAATTAACTTCCCCAATTTAATGTACCCCATTCCACAAGCAAGCTTGTCACTTAGCTTTACTTGCTGTGTGGGCTGGGAAGTCCATGGATCTGTGTAATGCTCTGGTTCTTAGTTGTACTGCTGCGGCTCCTTACTGCTGCTCTGTCTCAGGTCTAGGAGATTCACTGCACAGGGATCTATCTTGGGGTCCGAATGACATGTCCCACTCCTGCTTCTCCTTTCTCATTGGTAACGAGATCCCTTCTACAGCTGCTGAGATGGCTCATTTTATGCCCAGCAGGATGGCAAAATTGACTAACCCTCATCGTAGATTTCCAAGTTTTTATAATCACAATGAACTCTGTTACCAATGACTCACAACCGAATCACATAATCCTGTCAGTATAGTCTCCCACCTTCTCCTACCCAGACCTATCAGGAAAAAAAGTCCTTTGGTGGGTGTGACAAAGACTATGGCTAGAAGAAACATTGAGTAACTGACTATACCATAGGCCACTCCATGGCTCTTCGAGCTATTGTCTCTTTCATACTTTCAGGATTAACTTTTTAAATGTTACTTTTCAAAATTGCAAGTCATTATCCTCATGCCCAATTCATTATCTGTGAAACCACACTTTACTCTTCCCTTTATTTTCTTTTACTATTCTTAGCATTGGGCATAAATCACTTACTTGGTATTGAATCTAGATTTTATTCTAACTCAAATGGTAGTGGTGGTGGCTATGTGCTGTGAAGTCAGTTCTGACTCATAATGATCCTGCATAGAGTTTCCAAGACTGTAAATCTTTATGGGAGCAGAAAGCCTCATCTTTCTCCTGTGGAACTGTTGGTAGTTTCGAACTGCTGACTGTGATATTAGCAGCCCAACTCATAACCACTGTGCTACTAGTGAGTTCCTTTTTAACTCAAATAGTACCACAAACATTTATAAAGTTTTTATTGTGAATTGAATGAAGGTTTACAGGGCAGATATCAGTTTTACATTCAACAAATCATACTACGTTTCATAGTAATGATTACAATCTCCTCTATGTACTATCAGTTAACAGTATTTACCTCTATTCTCCCCCTCTTTTTTTGATGTACACATACAAAATAAAAATATATATATTCATTGAAATCTCCAAAGGACACGTTTGCCAGCCAGCCTTCTGCCCACAGGCAGACAGCCTTTCTCAGTCCATGGTCCTAGAGTCCTCAGCTGCTCTCTCTCTCTATGCCATCGCCTCTGCCACCATCTCTGCTATCACCACTTTTCCGATTAGGATCTCACGTTTCACTCATGCTCTTCCCTCTTGATGGCCCTAGGGTTCTCTGCTCCTGAAATGGAAGATTAACTACGCCCTCCTTTTGTTGCACATCTTCTACATTTACAACTGTGATAATCACAATTAGTCCAGATAACAGTTACTTAACAATTGAATCATAAAAACCTATCAGCATCATCCCCAACCCCTTTTCACCAGATCCATCTGGAAAATAGGAAAACTGTTTAGTGGGGATTCTACCTTACCCCCATCATTCTGAAATGAAGTACGCTCATGAAAGCTTGTAAGCCAGCCACTTCTTGCCTTTGTAGCCCCCCATTTTTGATAGCCAATGTTTATATTTCCTGTCCCTATTAACCCAGTGTGCACTGAGGAAACAAGCTTGATCCTTGAGATAAAGAATCCTTCCATTTTGGTTGGAGTTTTGAGCAATGACATTCATAAGCAAAGGTCCAGTTCATCAAATTGTAGCAATTTATGCTTGCTAACAGTATCAAACTTCTTTATCTAATCGATTTCTGGTCAGCTAGCTATCCAAGTTGGGTCAAATGGATACTATCTGCACACTTCCGACCAGATGGCCACTTTACTCTCTACTCTAGCCCCCAGTAGCTAAGTCAGTGTCCATGGACTCGGGAGTTCACATGTCTCCCTAAACTTCAGACCAGCCAGTCCTTCTTCTTCTCTCTCTCATCTCAAGGTCAGTGGGTATCTATGGAACATGACCAAATTCAGCCCATGACTTCATTGCTGTATTTCCCCCACTTCCACTCACAGAAAGACCAGGAAGGTCACCAGCAAGCCTACTAGACTCCTTGTGGATTCCCTTTGAGTTTCAGTCTCAGAAGAGGGTTTATCCTGATGGGCTGACCTTTCTCGCTTTGATGGCTCCAAGGCAAACATCTTGCTTGGTATTATAATAGTCAAACAGTCTGCCTTTTTCTGCTGGTCTAACTTTCAAGAAGCATCTTCTGCTCTTCTAGCCATTCTGGATTGGTCTGCATGTCTTTTCAAGTGGGAATGTCACACCTCTGAAGGTTCTGGGTGGGGCTCAGAATTCTACCTAAGGCCCCTACTCCACAGAGGCTTAACAAGAAGCCTATTTTTCTGGGCAAATTCTAATCCCCCTTTTAGCTAATCTAAACAGTTAGTTATGCCACTTGATTTAGATGTCCCCCAAGACTATAGTCCCAAGTCCCCAAGCCCAGTGACTCATTCCCTCAGGTGTTTGGTTATGGTTAGAAAGTGTTTAGAACTTTGGCCCCATATGCTCTATAATTTATATTACATTTTAATTTTAAAGTCAGATGCAATATAGCATTACAAAAAAGATTCCAGCTTCAGTCAATATAGAATTCGGTGGAAATTTTTGTTAATAGTAGACTAAACCACTTGGTGTGTTGGGAAGGAGGAAAGTATGGGAACCCAAGTTTACACAAAGCCAAGAATAGGGGACTGAGCTGGCTTTAGCACTGGGTCCAAAAGAATAATGAAGAGTCTGATTTTAATGGCCCAGGAGACACTGATTTGGTTCCCATCTTTAAGAGTGTAGATCAGTTTTTTGATGTAACAGGGCTCCGTAATCAGTCAAACCTGAGAGCACATCTTCAATAATTGAGTGACTTTGTGTAAATTACTTTCCTGAGCATTAGTTTTCTTATTTGAAAAATGGAGATAAAGCTTTCTATCAGGATTTTTGAGAGGATTAAATGAAATAGTTATGTTATTTCCTGCTGTACCAAAAAGAATTGATCAATGTTCAACCATTTCAAGAGATAGTATATGATCAAGAACCAACGATACTGAAGGAAGATGTCCAAGGTGCACTGCTGGTATTGGCAGAGAATAAGGATCCACGAAATGATGGAATACAAATTGAAACCTTTCAACAAGTTGATGAAGCACTGGAGGCACTCACTCATCTATGCCAAGAAATTTGGAAGAGATCCATATTTGTGCCCATTCCAAAGAGAGGTTATCCAACATAATGCAGAAATCATCAGACAATATCATTCGTATCACATGCAAGTAATATTTTGCTAATGATAACTAAAAAACTGCTGCAATAGTATATTGACAGGGAGCTGCCAGAGGTTCAGGCCAGATTCAGATGGGGATGTGGAATGAGAGATATCAAGGCTGATGTCAGATTGATCTTGGTTGAAAGCAGAGATATTGGAAAAATGTTTACTTGTGCTTTATTGATTATGCAAAGACTTCAATTGTGTGAATCATGACAGACTATAGACAATATTACAGAGAATGAGTATTCCAGAACAATTAATTGTGCTCATAAGGAACCTATACATAAAAAAAGAGGCAGTTGTTTGAACAGAACAAGGGGACACTGAATGGTTTAAAATCAGGAAAGGTGTGCACCAGGGTTGTATTCTTTCACCATATTTATTCAGCCTGTAAGCTCAGAAAATAATCTGAGAAACTGGATAATATGAAGAAAAACATGACATCAGGATTGAAGGAAGACTCACTAACAATGTGTGATATGCAGATGATACAACCTTGCTTGCTGAAAGCAAATAGAACTTTAAAATACTTATTGATGAAAATCAAAGACCACAGCTTTCAGTATGTGTTGCACCTCAATGTAAAACAAGCAAAAGTCTTCACAGCTGGGCCAATAAATAATATCAAGATGAATGAAGACAAGATTGAAGTTGTCATAGACTTCATTTTGTTCAGATCAACCATCAACACTTATGGAAGTAGCAGTCAAGAAATCAAGTGACATATTGCGTTAGGCAAATCTGCTGCACAAGACCTTTTTAAAGTGTTGAAGAGCAAAGATGTCAGTTTGAGGACTAAGGTGCACCTGACCCAAACCATGGTATTTTCAGTAACCTCATAGGCATGTGAAAGTTGGACAAAGAATAAGGAAGAGCACAGAAGATTGATGCATTTGAGTTATGGTGTTGGAGAAGAATATTAGAAATGCCATGGACTGCTAGAAAGACAAGCAAATCTGTGTTGGAAGACATACAGCCAGAATGCTCCTTAGAAGCCAGTATGGCCAGATTTAGTCTCTCATACTTCGGACATATTATCAGTCCCTTGAGAAGTATATCATGCTTGATAAAGTGGAAGGTCAACAAGAAAGAGGAATACTCTTATTAAAGAGATGGATTGGCACATTAGCAGCATCAATGGGCTCAAGTGTAACAAAGATTGTGAGATTGGTGCAGGACTGAGCAGTGTTTCGTTCTGTTGTG